AACAGCCCAAGTGCCCATCAGCAGATGAGTGGATAAAAAAGCTGAGGCACATTTACACGATGGAATACTATGCATCTGTATAAAAGAAGGATCTCTTACCCTTTGAAAGGGCATGGGTAGACCTGGAGATTATTATGCTAAGTGAAATAAGCTAGCCAGACAAGCATCACATGACCTCACTTATATGTGGAATCTAATGAACAAAATAAACTGACAAAATAGATCCAGAGACCTGGAGGCATGGAACAGACTGATGAATCTCAGAGGGAAGTGGGGTGGGGTGGTTGGGAAGAGATTAACCAAAGAACTTATATGCATATATGTATAACCTACAGACACAGACAATATTGTAGGCCTGGGGGAATTCGGGATGGGGGTAAAAGGGGACATTTGTAATACTTTCAAAAATAAAGATAAACTTAAGAAAAAGATTGAAATATTGCAATGCTAATGGTTAGCACAAGGCCAGGCACAGGGTAAGGACTCAATATTACTAATTTAAAGTGAAAAGTCTTTCTTAATGTATTATTTCTGGACATCAATACACAATTAAATGTAGCAGTTATAAATTAATATGAAAATATCCAAAAAACAGTTTAAACATGAAAATACATTTTTAGTAACAAGAGGAAATTTTACAAGTGGCTATCTTCAGTTTTTGTTTTATCAAAATAGAATTAAATTTAAGGTTCTTTTAAAAAATAGACCTATAAAATTTTATTTCCTATTAACTGCTATATGAGATGTGGGTGGTAGGTTCAGTCACTTTACACAAGATCAACCTCTCAGTATCTTCGGAACTGATTACTTCAAATTACAATAAACACCTTAAAACAGAGTTTCCCCTGGAGACTGAATCGGTGCATCTGGGGATTGTTTCCAACAACTGGACTTTTAAACAAGTATCCCCTACCTCTTGGCAAATTATTAGGTAGGTTGATTTGGAGAATAATGCTTTAAAGCAACCAAATAATTTTTATCATGCTTGAACATTACTTGCTATGAGTGGCATATTTAATGAAAATCAAATTTATCTAGCTTTTTAATCTATATAGCTTATCATCATACCTAAGTATGTCTTACCTGAATATCACAAGGTTTTATTCCAATTCTACTAATATCTCACAAGAGCTGATAAAACAGTAATCATCTTTTTGAAAACTGCTGGTGATTGGGCTTCTACAGTCTTAGTGTTGCATATATCTTTTCTTACCAGAAAGCAGAAGAATCATCTAGCAGTTATAGTAAAAAACTGAACAGGGTGGAAATTATTCAAATAGTCATACTACTCACAAAGTAGTCTTTAAACAGCTTTACCAACATCAGTTAGTAGAGTTACTTGCAAAACCAGTTATCAAATACCTATTAATTTAAACATTCAATTTATAAGTATGTCAAGTTTGTGTACAGACTCTCATTTGCCATATTAAGCAACTACGAAGCAATTCTTTAACTGGATATGTGTATATGAAAAAATGCACATAGGTTCATTCTAATTGATCAACTAATAACAAATCCCTCTAAATTAAAAAAGAAAATAAGCAATGGAATGTATTTTCAAACAAATTATCATGGAACACTGAGGAAAGTTTAAATTATTAGAGATTTGAAAGAACATTTAGGATTAAAATGAACTGTTAGCCACTTCTATTTTCTAATAACAATATGAAATGCAGAGAATCAAAGGACTTGTATGCATGCATATAAGCCTAACCAATGGACATAAGACACTGGGGAATAGGGGAGGCTAGGGGACTGTCTAGGGCGGGGGAAAAAATGGACACATATGTAATACCCTTTGTAATAAAAAATAAAATTTGGAAAAAAAAACAAAAAACTGCAAGTTTATTGAAGTGGGTTAGTTTTTAAGCTGATTAAAGCTACTTCATTTAAGCCTGGCCTGTGTAGCTCAGTGGTTGAGCACTGATCTATAAACCAGGAGGACACTGATTCCGGTCAGGGCACATGCCCAGATTGTGGGCTCCATCCTCAGTAGGGGGCATGTAGGAGGCAGCCGATCGATCCCTCTACTTCCTTCTCTCTCTAAACATCAATAAAAACATACTTAAAAAAATAGAAAAATAAAATCAGGCCCAGTGAAGGACCAAATTCTTAAAAAAAACAAAACAACAACTTAATTTAAAACGAACTATTTTTGAACCTCAAGTAAATGATGCAGTATTTAATAATTTATTGAAGAATCAACTTTAACAATGTTAGCCTTAGTAAAAGCCGTTGGTAATATACAAGGTGAGAAGGGCTTTAATACCAAGTCTCTGGTTCCACGGTGCACTTCATATTCCCATCTGTATATCAGCAAAGTTGTAGAAGCGGTCTATATCTCTAGATGCTGTCTCCTTGTTTTGTGACACAAACGTCTATTTTAAATATAAAAGAAACAAAAATAAATACTAGTAATCCCCAAATTCCAAAGCCCATGTTCTCCACAGAACAAAGTCATAAGCTTGCTATTTAAAATAAATTCAAGCACATCATTTATAATATTTAATGTGTAGATTTTCTGTAGAATCCATGCAAAATAGTTTCAGTAACTATCATGTAAATTAAGCTCCTTTAAAAGCACTTATGATGTAATTAAGGTCTTTGCTTTCATAATACTTCACTTGTATTTTATTACACTTGGGATTTTACTGTTTTAGAATATACAACACTCATTATGAAAGCTTCTGAATAGAGTTGTATTTAAAGAACTTTTAGTTTTTTTATTTTCTATAAATAATTTCAATAGGCTGAGAAGCAAAACTTCAGATTATCTTTTTTTTAAAGCTGCTAAAGATACATTACCAATTTAAAATGAACTACTTTCTGAACAACAATAAAGCAGTACTCAATAGAATCCTTTAAAAAAAAGCTTTTACAAATGTCAGCCAGGAAACAGAAGAGACCTGAGTTCCATTCTAGCTTTATCATAAACTAGCTGTACAATGCTGAAAATTTACTAAACCTCTCTGGGCTGTTTCCACATCTGTAAAATGAGAAAATCGGATTAGATCATCTTTAACTCATTCAGACCTAAAAACAAGTCATATAACCATTTTCTCTGTTTCCTTTTTTATTCAATCTCATTATATTTGCCCCAACCTTAAATAGTATGTGATGATAAAATGAGGTAAAAGACAAAATACTTTAAATTATGCAAATTCAAGGAACCATAAGCCGAATCAGACTACAAAACCCCCAAATTTCCTCTCATCCTATATAATAAAAGCCTAATATGCTAAGTGTCCAGTTGACCAGTTAGCCACTCAACCACTCGCTATGACATGCACTGACCACCAGGGGGCAGACACTCTGACCTGTAGGTTAGCTTGCTGCTGGGGTCCGGCCAATCGGGACTGAGCGAGATGGGCCAGACATGCCCTGGAGCTCTCTTGTGGTCCCTTCCTGGCTGGCCCGCCTCCCACATCTCTTCCCAGCCCTGATCATGCACTGATGGGGTCCCTTGGCTTGGCCTGCACCCTTTCACAATTGGGGACCCCTTGGGGGATGTTGGAAAGCCGGTTTCGGTCAGATCCCATAGGTCAGGCTGAGGGACTCCACTGGTGCATGAATTTGTGCACTGGACCTCTAGTATATTTATAAAAAATAATCAGTTACATATATACTCATTCAATCCTTTTACATGTTTGTTTTTTTAAGTTACATTAAGTCTGAAATTCTTAAATACACAACTTCATCAACATATCTAGAAAATACCTATTTGTAATGATTTCTAGATAAAGCTCCAGTTCAATTTTTGAGGAAGCATTACTGAAACAAATAAAAATGAACACTGGGCAATGGGATCATCTGTCTAAAGCAGGGGTGGGGAACCTTTTTCCTGCCAAGGACGATTTGGATATTTATAACATCATTCTTGGGCCAGACAAAATTATCAACTTAAAAATTAACCTGTTGTATTTGGTAAAACATTTAATTCACCCCTAATGTCTTGGCAGGGCCAGGCCAACTGATTTCACGGGCCTTATATGACCCAAGGGCCGGATGTTCCCCACTCCTGGTATAAAATATATAATGTTAGAAATACAGATAAGCTCATCATAAGTTAAAAATAGCATAAGTTGCCCAGCCAGTGTGGTTCAGTAGTTGAGCCTTGATCCATGAATCAGAAGGGCCCGGTTCCATGCCGGGGTTTCAGGCTGGATCCCCAGAAGAGGGCGTGCAGGAGGCAGATGATCAATGATTCTCATCATTGATGTTTCTATCCCTTTCCCTCCCTCTCTCTGAAATTAATAAAAACATTTTAAAAAATTGTGAGCAAAAAAAATGGTTATTATATTTTTAAAAAATAGCATAAGTTGAAAATGCATTTAATCCACTTAACCTACCGAACATCATAACTTAGCCTACCTATCTTAAACGTGTTCAGAACACGTACATTAGCCTACAGTTGGACAAAGTAACCTAACACAATGAATATACACTGTAGAGTATTGGTTGTTTACCCTTGTGATGGCAGGGCTGACTGGGAGCTGTGACTCCCTACAGCTGTCTAGCTTACGAGAAAGTAAGGTAAAGTATATCTCTAGAAGTATGGTACCTACTGAATGCCTATCACTTAAAGTCTAAAAGTCTTAAGTCAAACCATCTGTGTATCATTCACTATTTTTTAAAAAAGGACTTGAAGATGCTTTTGATGAGACTTCTCACTTTAGAAACAAGTATTATTGATGGTTTTTAATAAGTACATTCTTATTTTATAAGTGTGTAAGCAATTAATGTTTTAGTTTGGCAAGGAAAAACCAAAGCTTAGCTTCCAATTATTTATTGCAGGTTCTAAAAATCATGATCTGCTTTTTAAAAATTCCATACAACACTAGGCCTAAAAAGTATGATTTGATTGTAAGGAAAAGGAAATGAAAAGGTTTGAGTGAAATATAAATACTAGTCGGTCTCAGAACCCTGCCCAGGAGATGGGGAAGTCATGTGTGCCTATAGTTGTCTGTAGCTCTAAGGCTATTGTGAAATGGGGAATTAGGAGGTGGGGGGGGGTGTTTGGGAGATACAAGGATCTAGGGCTGATTCTGGGTAGTCAAGGAATTCTGGAGGTCTCCCTGGCATGTGGAAGATTAATGGGGACACTGGGAGCCCTGTAAAATAATGATCTTAGGGTCCTGGAGGTATCCCAGGAGCAGGTTGGATTCTGAGGTTGTCTGAGTATGGACTTTTTTGGAGCGCTGGTGGTTCCTTGTAGGTGCAGAGGCCTCTGGATTACTAGGTTTTGCTTTGGTAGATGAGGAGGTCCCAGATCATTGGGAAGTTTGGAAGACAGTGAGATATTTCTGGAACCTTGGAGATAGAAGATGGGTTGGACGGGAGCTCTGGCGTTCCCTCAAAGATGGGAGCATTTCTGTAGCCTTGCCGTTCACAATGGAAGTCTCTATTTTTCTGGAAACTTCCTGGGGGAGGTCTTTAGGCCCTTGAGGTGATTTTCAAGATTAAAAGGGCAGTTGTTCTAGAGTCTTGGAGTTCACCCCTAGGAGTGGGGGAGAAGGATGTTTCTAGAAGCCTACTAGGGGCTTTTGTTAGAGGTAGGGGGTCTTGGAGAGCCCTTGAGAAGGAGTCTGGGACCCTTGGAATACCTTGGGGCTATTTCAGGGGACCACTGTTTTTCTTGGAGATGATATTGGGAGAGGTGAGATGACACACATGAGGCTTTGGGGTCTGAAGCTGAATTTCCTGGAGACTGATTTGAAAGCAGCCAGAGATGCTGGAAATTCTCTGATTCTGAAACAGTCTCTCTGAAATTGTCCCTGCCTTGCCTGACATGTGCTCCTTCGAGGTCACAAAGAAAAGCCCTGGATTCTGGGATCCTGTGGATGGGATGTCTGTTTTTGATCAAAGTACATTTTAAAAAAGTGTGCCATGTCCAGGTTGGGGTTTGTGAGGAGGAGCTGGCTCAAACAAGGACAGCCTTGAAGGAGAACTCTGTTATTATGGGGGTAAAGGACAGGAACTTGACCCTATGTAAGTGCCCTAATGGAGGCTGCCAGCAGGTTGAAGTATCAGGGAAGAGGTCAGGGCAGGGGTGGGCAAACTTTTTGACTCGAGGGCCACAATGGGTTCTTAAACTGGACCGGAGGGCCGGAACAAAAGCATGGATGGAGTGTTTGTGTGAACTAATATAAATTCAAAGTAAATATCATTACATAAAAGGTTACGGTCTTTTTTTTTTTAGTTTTATTCATTTCAAACGGGCCGGATCTGGCCCGTGGGCCGTAGTTTGCCCACGGCTGGGTCAGGGTCTGCTTGGCAGTAGAGCCCCTCTAAGCAGCCCAGGCAGGGTGCCCTCTCACCAGGGGAATGCGGGCCTAGGCGAGTATTTGGGGTCTTCAAGGGATGTCAGGGCCAGTGGCCAGAAGAACAGCAGCACTGAGTCATGCTGAACTCAGCTCAGGATGGGGCTAAAAAAGAAGAAATATAGTCAATGAAATCTTGTACCTTGGTGCTCTTGAATATCTCGTTGACAACATTTTGACAATCTTCTACAACACGATCTCCATTAAACTCCAAGGCAATAACAGGACCTATAAGCAAACCGAAGAAGTGTTGTCTTATCAAGAATACAAATCTATTCTAAAATTATTCTTTTTGCACTTCCCTGAAGAATCTCTAGCTTCTTTGGAAGTAAAAGAAAAGGAAGAAGGAAGTAGATAGATGGAATGTCACTTAAGCTACTTCTTCCTACTCTAATTATAGTACATAGAGTCTAATTAATTAACATAGAGTCTCATCACATGATGGGTAGCTTCAGTGCTACTATAGGACTATCACATTTTAAATTGATTTTGGAGAGAAGAAGGGAGGGAGGGAGAGGGGAAAGAGAGAGAAACATTGATCCATCAATCGGTTGCATCCCCATACGAGAGAGAGAGAGAGAGAGAGAGAGAGAGAGAGAGAGAGAGAGAGAGAAATATTGATTGGTTGCCTCCCTATATGAGCCAGACTTGCAACTTGGGTATGTGCCCTGATCTGGAATCAAACCTGCAACTTTTTGGTGGGTGGGACGACGATAATCCAACCAATTGAGCCATACCAGCCAGGGTGGACTATCACAGTGTTGTGAATAGTCTGGCTTTTCTAGTTTTCATTCATCTATAAAAACCATTAAAAGCCCACCCAGTTAGCAGTACAAAAAGCAGTTGACAAATGACAGAAAAGATCAAAAGCAATTCAAGTCAACATAAGTAAGTTTTGCCAGGCAGCCAGCCTTGCTTCCAACTCTCCTACTTACCAGCCAAGTTCTGGGCCACCAATAATGAAGCTAAGCCAAGTTGGAATTGAAGCCAGGCACCAAAAGTAATGACTATGTGAAATATATTTCTTGAGTGAGCCTTAAAACTACATTCTAAATCCAATGACCAAGTGTTCATTTTTTTAATTCTCTGAAAATATTTATGCTTCCTCTCTCATACATTAATTTATATACTTTTAAACCACCTGTACTTTAATTTCTGGATTTAAATGTAGCATTGGCACTACCCAGTGTCAAACTGTTGGCAAACATGGCCACAAGTCAGCCAAGCAAAATATGCCCTTCAATTCAATTAATATTTATTCAGCTATCACTGTATTCTTAATAGATTTGCTTTTTATCTCCTACAGTAATGGAGAAGTCCTGACCTCCATGAAATTACACATTTCTTGAAAAAAAAACCCATTAAACAAATACAGAACAACAGAGAATGATTGAAGTACTAAGTAATGAAATGCTAAGATGAATGTAGGCATGTGCCACAGGGCAAGGTATATGAATGAGGGAAAATATCCCACTAAATAACTAAAATCACTGAGGGCCTGTGATTTAACATAGACAACAAATACAGAAAAGGTAGGCTACATCGACAGTCAACTATACAATTAGATACAGAGAACAAATTAAAGTGTGGGTTTTTCAGCATCACAGAGTGTAGATCAAGACAGGTGCTGAGTAAAGAAAAGAAGGTAACTCAGAAAAATGGATGATTCTGTGTCTGAGGCAAGAAATGGGTAAGATCAACCAGGAGTATCTTGTTGAGCCAAAAAGCAATGAGGCTATCAAAAGCCAATGGGGTTGTATCAAGAGGACACAGGAGCCAGCTTGAAGGAGCTCCAAATGGCCAAAGATGAGCCTCGGTGAGATCAGAAGGAATAATGACTGCAATTTATTAAAACATACTGAATATATAAAAATTCATGAGCTACTAATGATATTTAGAAAAGAGAGAAACAAAGAAAATTCATTGGATACTACTATATGTTGCTAGGGCACCAAATTATTACTTTGAAAATTAATGCTTATTTTCCCTTTATTTATTCTGCTTTTCTGATATGAAGCATATTTCAAATTAACCAAACAGTTCTTCCGTACAAGAAGTTCTGTTAACATCCATTATTAAATATAGAGGTAGTGACATGATTAGAAAATGATCATTTTGCAACTCCTAATAAAATAATTGAATCAGGCAACAATCATCAATGTTTTTAGCATCCCACAGGGAAGAGTGATAAGAAACTTCAAAAAGAAGATTGTCAGCAGCTGAACTTAATCAATTCTAGTATCACTAAAAGTGCAATAATCAAGTTATATGCCCTCTCATGTAATGATATAGGAAACAGTACCACCTGTGAAATATTCTTGCCCAAAAGAACCCCTAAACGTGAGTGTAAACAAGGCTTTGATCTAACTTATAGTCTACAAGAACTGTAGAGGAACAAATTAACCCCTTCCCCAACAATTTTTTTGTTAAAAACGTTTCTTTTTCAGACTAATTTTTTTATTTTGGTTCTATATAGTATTTTTGAGGCTGGTTATGAAAACAGTTTGTAACTCGTCTTCCTATAAACCATATTTTTTTTTACCATATTTTCTTAGTATACTCGTCGACGACTGAAAAAGAACATTTTGTGAAAACGAGTATACACGTTTCTGCCGGGGAAGGGGTTAAACACACCCAGGCACACAGGACAAATGACCAGGTTTCTCTTACAAGACAAAAAAGGGGGGGAGAGGAAGACACCCGTTTCTCATTAAGAGTGATACAAAAAAATGACATACAGTGAGTGGGACAATTTTAGATCTGGATCACATTAACTATAAAAATACATAAAGAACCCAGCTGAAAAAATCAATAAAATGTATTTTAAAAAAAAGAATACATAAAGAATGTTTTTAGACAATTAGGGAAATTTGGATATGGACTGGTTATTCGATGAGGTTAAGGAATTGTTAATCATGAAGCATATTTCAAATTAACCAAACAGTTCTTCTGTACAAGAAGTTCTGTTAACATCCATTATTAAATATAGAGGTAGTGACATGATTAGAAAATGATCATTTTGCAACTCCTGAGGCAAGAAATAGATGTCATAATATATTGTGATTACTTAAGAAAACACCTGTTTTTAATTTTGTTTAAGAAGACACACTCTAATATGTAGGGGTGAAATAACAAGACATTAAAATTTGATTAAAATATTTCAGCAAAAAGAATATAAATTGTTTTTTTCAAGAATGGCAAAAAGTTGATAAAATGGGATGGGCACACATGAGGCATTGTACTCTGTACTTCTGAATAGAGATAGTACATTTGTAAATCTGCAAAGGGACTTAAAAAGCATTTTAAACAAAATAAACACTGAGAAAAGAAAAAGTTGATAATAAATGCAGCGTTTCCAGTTTTGCAGAAAGTGGAAATTTTGAATTAAGGTAGAATACAGTATGCTTTTAGTCAGGATCAGTACAAGGATATACAGTAGATATATTTTTAAAAGACAGAGATTTATTACTGAAAGTACCTGCATTCTACAAAGACAACATAACCCATAATTCAGAAATCCAATTTTGGTAGAATTACCCAAATGTGAAACTTGGTTGATATTTTTTTGAATAGAATATTATGAGCTTCTGGTAAGTGACCTAATAATTTGTCAACAAATAATCACTAATAAAAAAGGAAGACAAGCCGAAACCGGTTTGGCTCAGTGGATAGAGCGTCGGCCTGTGGACTGAAGGGTCCCAGGTTCGATTCCGGTCAAGGGCATTTGCCTGGGTTGCGGGCACATCCCCAGTGGGAGATGTGCAGGAGGCGGCTGGGCGGTGTTTCTCTCTCATCGATGTTTCTGACTCTCTATCTCTCTCCCTTCCTCTCTGTAAAAAATCAATAAAATATATTAAAAAAAAGGAAGACAAGTGCATCAATTTTGATTAATACGTATGGACAATCCTAAACTAAAAAACTACAATGCTGACAATGTACTCTTTAAGAAGTACTATTTGTCTTTCTATCTAATAATGATAACTACAATTTCAGTGTTTATTTCAAACTGAACTATGAGGTCAACAAGGATCATTAGTCATGCTTTTAGTGTTTTAATGTGTACGTCTTATCAAATAGTTCGCAGAAGCTTGAAATCTAAATATTTGAACTGTCAAAAAGATTGTGAGACTTTGAAGTAAACAAAAAAGATTCCTGAATGCCCTATCTAATAAAGTCTTCTGTGTAATCTAACATGACCTTGGAACAAGCCACTACCATGTCTCAGTTAGATTACAGCAACAGCCTCCAGATGGCTCTCTGCTTCCCCCTTAGAGCAAGCAGAATGATAAAAGTTACATTTTAAAGGGACCATGACATTCTTCTGCTCTAAAGTCTCTAGTAAAATATTATCTATATTTTTATTATTTTTAATTCTTTTAAAAATAACTGACAATTTAAATAACATTAATAGTGTATTAAATATTTGTAGCATATGCAACAGTAAGATATGTAATAATGATACAGAGATGGGAGGAAAGATTCGAGTATATAATGTTATTAGGACCTTATACACTGAGTGGCCAGATTATTATGACCACCTGATGTTTGTGGGCAAATTAGCTATAATTTTGCGCTGAAGTTGCTAGAGGGCCAGACCATTATAAACGTCTGAATAGCACAACATACCTAAGTATCGTTGCTGATCAGGTTCATCCTATCATGTTGATGGCATATCCCAATGGAGATGGCTTCTTCCAACAAGACAATGCGCCATGCCACGGTGCTCGTATTGTGCAGGAGTGGATTCAAGAACATGAGGGAGACTTTACCTTGCTTAGGTGGCCCCCGTAATCACCAGATCACAATCCAATGGAGCATTTGTGGGACGAAGTTAAAAGAGCCATTAGGCAGCTGGTTCCACAACCATCAAATCTCACAGAACTGGACAGTGCTATTCATCAGGCAGGTGTCAGATTCATTGCATCACCTTTCAGCATCTGGTGGAGTCAATGCCAGGAAGAATCGCCATAGTACTGAAGGCAAAAGGTGGCCCAATGAAGTACTGATGGGGTGGTCATAATAATCTGGCCACTCAGTGTATACTATAGGTGAGGTGGTATAATATTACTATAAGGTGGACTCAAATATATATGCTGTAAAACCTAAGGCAACCATTATATAAAAGGTAGAAACAATAAGTCAATAGAGATAAAATGGAGTTATAAAAAAACGGCCAATTAAACAAAAAGTGGTAAAAAGAAAGAACAAATGGAACAGAAAGCAGCTAGCAAGATGGTAGATGTCGATCCAACTATATCAATCCTTTTCAATATGAATGGTCTAAATATACCAGTTAAAAGAGTGACTGTCAGACAGGATTAAAAAGCAAGAACCAACTATATGCTGTCTACAAAAAATTCACTTTAGGTATATAGACTTTGATAAGTTAAAAGAGACAAAGATCCTATATAATAAAAGCTAATATGCTAAGTGTCCGGTCATCTGTTCAACCAATCAAAGCATAATATGCTATGATATACTAAGGCTGCTCAACCACTGGCTATGACGTGCCCTGACCACCGTGGTGCACAAATTCGTACACCGGGCCTCTAGTATATGATGAAACACTAACAACCAAACAAAAGCTGGAGTAGCTATATATATCAGGCAAAGTAGATTTCAGAACAAGGAAGATTATCAGAGACAAAAAGGGACATTACATAATCATAAAGGACTCTCCAAGAAGACATAACAATCCTAAATGTGTATGAATCTAACAACAAAGTTTCACAGCAAAACCTGATAGGATCTGAAAAGAGAAATGGACAAATTCACAATGATAGTTGGAGAGTTTGACACTCCTCTCTCTTTAATTCATAGAACAAGTAAGCAGAAAATCATAAAGGATATAGATGACCTGAATAACACTATCAACCAAATTGACCTAGTGGGCCTCTATAGAGGCCCAACAAAAGCAGATTATACATTCTCCTCACATGTATATGGAATATTCGCCAAGATACACTATAATCTGTACCACAAAACAAACCTTAAGTAAAGAAAATAGAAATTATACAATGTGTATTTTCAGACCATAATAACAATCTACAAATCTATTACAGAAACACATCTGGACAATCTCCAAATGTTTAGAAATTAAACAATATAATTCTAAATAATCCATGGATTAAGTGAAAAGCCTCAAGGGAAACTAAAAAATATTCTGAACTACATGGGGGGTGGGTGGGGAGGTCAATATACTTTTTCTATAAAGGACCAGGTAGGAAATGAACAAAACAATCCTATATAATAAAACCCTAATATGCAAATTGACCAAATGGCAGAACAACTGGTTGCTATGATGTGCACTGACCACCAGGGGGCAGACACTAAATGCAGGAGCTTCCCCCTGGTGGTCAGTGTGCTCCCACAGGGGGAGCGCTGCTCAGCCAGAAGCTGGGGTCACAGCTGGCAAGCGCAGCAGTGGTGGAGGGAGTGCCTCTTGCCTCGGTGGCAGTTGGACATCCCCTGAGGGCTCCTGGACTGTGAGAGGGCGCAGGCTGGGCTGAGGGACACCCCCCGGGTGCACGAATTTCAAATACTGGGCCTCTAGTAGATACAATAATGAGTGTGGCTGTGCTCCAAATAAAACTTCATTTATGAAACATACAGGAGGCCATATTTTGCCAAACCCTGAATTAAATGAAAATAGATCAGATCAAAAATTGCTGGATGCTTAAAGCAGTGCTTAAAGGAAAATTTTTAACATGAAATACATATACAGTTGATCCTCATTATTTGTGAATTCTTTATTTGTGAATCTGTTTACCTGGAAAAATTTATTTGTGACCCCAAAATCAATAAAAGTTTCTTCATGATCATTTGTGGACACTCACAGAGTGGCATAAAAAAGTTGCCTGACATGCATGGTCCCACGTGAAAATGAACAAAGTGATGCTCTGCTTCTTGTTTCAGCATTCATTCTGTAAACAAGTATCCTTTTCATAGTCTAGTTAGTGCCACATTTTCCACATTTTGTTCTTTTTGTTGTGATTTTGCTATTTTAAAAGGCCCAAAACGTAGTGCTGAAGTGCTGTATAATGTTCCTAAGTTTAGAAAGACTGTGATATATCTTACAGAGAAAATAGCTGTTAGGGAAGCTTCATATAGGCCTGAGTTATAGTGCTGCTGGCTCTAAGTTCAATGCTAATGAATCAATAATACATACGAAAAGGTGTCTTTAAACAGACACACATACAATAAGGTTATATATTGATTTGCTTTATCATATGCTACACGTGCATGAGCACAGACACTTCGATTTTGTTTTGCTGAGCCATTTGAAAACAACAGATATCATAACACATCAGCATGCATCGCCTACATAACCACAATACCATTATCATACTTAAGGGCCTTAAGCAAACAATGTTCCCATCTCAAAGAAAAACAGTACTCTGTCCTCCAGAATCAGCACATCTTCAATACATACAGGCAGACAGCAACCCTTCAGAAGGTCACACTAACTCTAGATCCTCTTTTTACAGACATATTTTCAATATCTGAAATGTACTGGTAGCATTTGCCTGCTGGGGAAAACAATCCTATTTTTGCATGGGAAATTAATCAATCATATCAACTACATAAAATACTATACCATTTTATTTATATTTCTTACTTTTCATGTATGGTCAAAGCACACTGAAGACAGAAAGAATCCTTATCAAGTGCTTTGTAATTCTGGACAGTATAATAATGCAATAATAAAATAATAAAAAATAATAAAACACATAATAAATGTGATTTTTCAGAACTAAGGCTATAGAATAGGGAAAAAATGTAATGTCTGATTTCTAATTATCATATAGGTTTTTTTGAATGATGTGAAATTTTGACACTTCTGAATAGTAGTAGGAAAAAACACAAAACACGTGAGAAAGAGAAGACAATGTAAGAGAAAAGCTAAAGACCAGAGTAAACCAAATCAGCATCTCAAGAGGATAAGCACAAAAGTGTACCAATCAGCCAGAAGGTACCTCTGTCCAGAAGTTGAAGGAATTCAGGTGCTCTTTCCCGAAAAACCCTCTGAGCATCCTCAGCGTTCATGGATACTTCCTTTGTCTGAATCAGGAAAAAACCTAAATGAACCATCTGTGGAAAACAGAATTTCACTTAGATTTTAAAATGACCTTCTAAGATTAAAACAATATTTCCTAGTACATTTCTGTATAAAATATGACACAGTATGCTGAGTTTTGTTTTAGTTATAACTCCAATTTGGGGTGTTTGCTAAACAGGTTTTCACATATACAAGATTCCTTCTTCCAGATGGGTGGTTTTGCTTAAGAACTGATACACAATGCCTACTGCTAAGATTAAGGATCAAACAAATGTGAATGATCGCTCAAAATTTTAACCCTTTTCGGTCCAGCGTCGAGGCTGACTCGACAGACCAGGCGCTAGGAGCAGGTCCAACGTTGAGGCTGAGGTTGACACTGCAAACCGGTTCAACATTCAATCCCGTCAATTAATTTGGACCAGACTGTTTGAATTCCAAAAATGAAATTGGACCGCAAAGGGTTTTAAATATAATTAAAATTTTTTTGAATAGATGGAAACCTTAGTTTTGTGATAACGAAAGGAGAACGGTTAAGTAAATTATGATGCGTTGACATGATAAAATACCATAGTTCATTAAACATAATAATAAAATGGGGAAAAGCTTATATAACAATGTTAATTTTTAAAAACATGATACAAATTTATAGAGCATAGCACAATAATGATAGATTATATTTATGGAATACTTACTCTGTACCAGGCATTTTATACACTTTAGGTACTATTATTATCCTCATTTTACAGATAAGAAAACTAAGGCAAGAGTGGTTAAGAAACCTGCCCAAGATCACACAACTATTAAGTAACAGAGTTATGATTAAAACCCAATTGGTTGAGCCCAGCTGGTGTTGCTCAGTGGTTGAGCACTGGCCAATAAACCAGGAGGTCATGGTTCAATTCCTGGTCAAGGCACATGCCCAGGTTGCAGGCTCAATCCCTAGTAGCGGGCGTGCAGGAGGCAGCCAATCAATGATTCTCTCTCATCATTGATGTTTCTATCTCTCCCTCTCTTTTCCTCTCTGAAATCAATAAAAACATATTTTTTAAAAATCTAATTACTCAAATACTATGCAGCTATATAAAAGAAGGATCTCTTACTCTTTGCAACAGTATGGATGGACCTGAAATTATGCCAAGTGAAATAAACCAGTCAGAGAAGACAAATATCACATGATATCACTTATTTGTGGAATCTAATAAAATAATTTGACAAACAAAATAAGTCTTGAGGCATGGAGGCATGGAACAGACTGACATATCTAGGGGAGTGGGGAGCGGGAAGAGGTTAACCAAAGAACTTATATACTTATATGCAAAGTCCATGGACACAGATAATAGTGTGGTGAAGGCCTGGAGGGGGGTTATAGGGGCTGGGTGGAGGGAGGTAAAGCAGGGGAAAATGTGGGATATCTGTAATATTGTCAAAAATAAAAACACATATATATTTAAAAACCAATTAATCTGATTACAGACTAAATAAAAAAATACTGTTCTTAAAAAGAATATTCTTTAAAAGACTATTCAAAGTACAGTAAGTACATTATGATTTTTAAACATATTTCTACTCTTCTTTATTTCTATAGTTTTCTTCAATGAGTGCATATTAATTTTTAAAATAATTATTAGTTTTTAAAATGCAGTCATTCAACCACTTCAGTTTTTAGCAAAGTGTACTGGGTTTTTAATATGAAAGTAACATATATGCTCAATAAAGAACATTTGAAAAAAAACACACATCAACCAAGATGCATACTCAAAGACGTCACTGCCATATTGGCATACTTCCTTTGCATACTACCTTTTACCCTCCCAAGTTTACTTTCCCCCATTACAGAAATAATACATGTTCATTGCAAGGTCCATAGAACTACAAAATGAAAATACCCTTTGCTTAATTCACTTCCTAAGAATAACCATAACTGTTAATGTTTTAGTATCTATAACTTTTGAGACTTACCTACTTAAAATAGATCAGATACTTATATAATCTACAACTTTTCCACATAACTGTGAACATTTTCCAGTTATTCTATAAAATCAGTTTTAATGATTAATAGTATTTCATCCTATGACTACATTATTACCATTCCATCAAATTGGATTCAAACTCAAATTATTTTTTCACAGCCCTCAATGCTAACTCAGGAAAAAATTAAAAAGTAGCAGAAAATTACATGGACATCACTGCCAGGTGATGACTGCAATATTACTTAAAACAATCCTACATCTGTTTCTAATTTTCTAGACTGCTCGTTACCTCTCATTTTATAGTCAGACACATAAACTGACAAAAGTAAGATGACTAATTCAAAATACCGTTACCTAAAAACAAATAATGAACTCTGAAACATGATTTCACTGTAAATATTTGAAGAGACTCTTTTTCATAAAAATTATTCTACTTTTAGAGATTTGAAAATAGTGGTAACTACCCAACTTGAATTATGTAACACTTCTAAACAATTCAAATTAGATTTATTCTAATTTATCCTGTGCATATCTGTCATCTAAGTAACAGCCAGCGAAACTGATTTTTAGGTGAAATAACCAAGGCCCAGTACTTCTCTTGACTCCCTATGGAAGGTGCTTTTTGCTTTACCCAGCTTTTCTGGACCCTCTCAAGTTTTATACTTCCTATCTATAAAAGAAAAAAACACATTATGACATGTTTAATTTGTAGAAATAACTGAAACAAAATTCTGTGATACTCCTAGGGTTTAACAAAACCAGAGTTAGCAGTTCCAGTCTAAGACTATTCTAAGATATTTGTGTTATAATACAAAAAAGACTCGCTTTATTTTTTCCATCTCAGAATTAACTAGCTTCTACACATGTTTTCCTAAGAACTTGAGCCTAATTTAAAAAAAATGCAATCTCTCTCTTAAGTCACTGGTTTTCAGCACGTTTTGATACCCTCTTCACATGTGCTTGGCATTTCCTTCTTTTTGTTCTCTTTTTATTCCTTAATTTTGTGGTTTCAAAATTAGGTAGGACAACTAGCCAAAAAAGTCCCAGGGTTTTTCTTTCTAGGCTGGATGACAGTATCTGTC